TACAAAATCACACTCTCTCGAATCAGCAACCTACAACCAACTTTTTTTTTTCTTCTCCTCCCCGTCTCTGAGTTAACGTGCTAGTTCATCAGTAGCAATTCTGAACCCTGTTACAAAGTACCAGTAGGGAATCTGACCACGATTAATAGCGGTACTCAGTCCTGGGATTAGGTGGTGTCTTGTTTCATGGATTTTAGGCCATCTGTTCCTCCCTCCCACATTATACTCCTGCAGAACTATAAACGCACCTCCACCTCAGGGACTATAGAAAGGAATTAGAATTCTTCTGCTTTTCATTATCACAAGATTCAGTAACTCATTTCATTGTCAGGATAATCCCCTTTTACTCTTTCTTTTGCGCTTGCAGGGTATGCCAAAATGACACATAAAATCCCATATGTTAGAGACCTGATGAGGTCTCCACCTTTTCTTGAGTGTTGGGTTTAAGCTACTTGGGACATGGTGTCAAATCTGACAGGACCCTGATGCCCACACCCAATATTCATTAAGGTTTGTTAGGGATTTGTATAGCTGTCTACAAGCTGCACTTCCACCTCAATCCTCAGTGGCCATTTAAACATTTAGTTTGTCCTCTGGCTTTTACTGACAAAGAATTAATTTCCTATTGTTCAAGTGTTGGAAAGAGTTTATATTTCTTTCTAAAAGTAACAAAGGTCTTCTGGGTGTTGTAAATGGCATGTTACTGCTGCATATTATTTTAGGTAGTCATATCTAATTTAATGTTTTATTTCCCCCTGGGTTAACTTGCGTATCTGCAGCATCCAAAGGCTATGACAACGCCTTAGCAGAGTTTTCTCGAGAGAGTCAGTTCACTCCAAAAGTTTGGTCTTTGCTCTACACCAATTAATAACTGCATTTAATGTTTAGTACCTTAGGCATGTAATTTCTTTCAGGTTTAGTAAAAATACGTGCAGCTATCATATGCCCAACTAGTGTTTATTTTTCTCCCTTATTTATATGCTAATCATCTCTGCATACGGGATGAAGGGCTGGGGAATTCTATGATCTTTGGGATATTTTATGTTTGTAACATTCTCAGTTCAGACACTGAACAGCAAGACTTCCCTCCTGCGTCCAGCCAGAGCAAAATAAGGCTCCACCAAGAGGCTACAGGCTTCTCGCTGTCTTTCACTCTCGGGAGAGTACAGTCCTCAACTTCTCTCACTTATCTGCTCTTTTGACAGGTAGGTAGTGCTAATTTCAACACCAAACCTAAATTAACTGAAAGCCATATGTTTAGAATTGCATTCTATTTCATAGCATTTATTGGTAAAAACTATTTCAACTGTAATGGCACGTGACTTCTCTGGAGTGAGCTATGGACCTCAGGTGTGATACCGAGAAATCTCATAACTGACGGGGTATGCGGCACTCGAGAGTTCTAGATACTTTGTAGAAGATGCTACATACTCCAGTGGACACAAATCACAGAACTAGGTCTAACGACAGTTCTTGAAGTTGAGGGTTTTGTCAAAAGTGCAAATAAGCTGCCAAAAATGAGCTAAATGTTTGTTGTTTGCTTGTATGAAACTGGTACAAGTTTTAACTTGTAACTCTAAGCCACAATATATAAAATGACTACAGATAATTCTTTTATTTAACTTCAGTATGACTTAAACTCCCGCCCTTAAGAGTATCAGAAAAACTATACTGATAGCCTCTTCTAAAGTAAAAGAAATAATACTTTTTTTTGGAGAATGGATTTTGGTTCGATTTGTTTTTTGCCAACACACTGCATCATATTCTACAATAGTATTACTTTACTAAAACCAAAATACTGGGGATTTCACCATAAGTAAAGAGGAGAACATAAGTATTCTAGCAGAAATAGTAAGCACGTTGCTATAAGTAACTGCTGTATTAAAACATGAAAAACGTCCAAAAAATGAAGTCCCTCGACACACTGAAGGTTTGGGGTTGTACAGCAGTGCAGCAGGGTATGTAGAACTAGAGGTGTTTTAATTTGATCCAACTGCAATGTGAGTGTGAAACACTTAGAATTTATTTTGTTAGAAGTGAAATAATACAACCAATTACCCCGTCTATTTTTTCAGAAGCTAAATCTTTTTACTTTCATAAGAAATTAATAAGAAAAATTAAAACAGAAGGCCTTGAGCTTCCATGATTAAACCAGGAACGTATAGAGGGAAAACTGATGATTAAAAAAAAAAAGTTACACGGCAAGCTTCTTTCTTAATTTCAGCTAAAAAAATCAAAGCATTACACAGGTCACGCACTTCTGTTTTCCCCCTGTAAAGGAGGAAAAATGCCGACAATACATTCTTGCGAGTTTTTTTTTGCTAAATAATTCCTAGCAAATAGAATTCCTTACAAACTAGTTTCATCTCCTACATTAAAACTCATCTGGAAAAGGGGTCGTTTACATTGTTTATAAAACACTGCCACATAAAATGTGTAAAAAACCATATTTCACTAAAAATAGCTTGCGTAAGTAAGGGATTAGAGTAGTTTCTACTGCTATAATTGTTCCTTTGTAGTTTTTTCCATGATGTTTTAGAACAGTGTTTTTGACTATGTTTATTGAAGTCAGCACATCAAAAAAGATCAAAGAGAAAGTTAGTGAGAACCAAAGAAACCCCAAGCGTATTGTGTTGTCTCACTGGGGAGTTATGCAGATTCAAGTAAACAAGTGCAAATTGTTGAGGTTTTAATGAAAATTTTCTACAATTACTGTATCTGAAGTCATTCTATATAATAACATCTGTACAGCAGATGGCCATACTGTACAAAAGGCAAGCAATGCTCCTTTTTCTTCCTCTGTTTTAACAGTACATCTGAGATGACTACTTTTGTCATTGTGCTTAGTTTGGTTCAGCAAATAATTCGTAAAATGCAGCTGCTGCAGATGGTCACAATAGTTATTTCACTGTAAAATCAAAGACACAGTGAAGTATTTGCCTATTAGTTTCATTCTTTTAAAAACCCCTGGCATTAACCCTGTTCAGCTCAAAAGGTTTATTTATAAAACCTTTTGTAAAAACAAAAGTAGCGAAAACCTGACATATTTAAATACTCCTTTCTCCCAAGACACAACTACTACACTTTTTAAAATTGAGTTAGCTTGCATAATTTCTTTGCAATAATAAAACAAATCTAGTTAGTAACTACGGTATTCTTTTAGTATTTTTAACACAAGATTATAATGCCATTTCCCCCACACTGAGTAATTTTTCTTCTTTCCTGAAGTTGTAATTTCCACTTTAGTTTCTATCAGCACTTTAATTTCAAAGTAATAATTTTAATTAAAAATAAAAAATTTATTAAACGAATTTTTGACAGTTTCAATCAGTTTTGTGGAAGCGTGTCTTTTGTACTTCTTGAAACTTCAAACAATTTATTGCACCATCACAATAGCATGCAAAACCTCACGCACATCTACTTTTCTTTTTATAAAGCAAACATAAGGCAACTTTAACTGGAAAAAAATGTGCAAAGAATCTGTTGATGTGTCTTTATTGCCTGGTTATGAAAGTTCTTCATAAAGAATAACTAATGCCCATTTTCATTAGATTCAGCAACAGTATTGCTTTACTTAATAAGGACTGCTGGACTACAAACGTACTGAATATTCAGGTATAGCTTGTGACATGAAAAATGAAGATTGGCTTCCTCAGACTGCCAGAGGAATTCAGAAACAGAACTTTGCAGCAGAATGTTTCTGAGGCTTAACATACAAGGCAAGGTACATCCTCCTTCTGGGAGGATGAAAAACTCCAGGGTAAGTGCTATACACTGCTGAGTTTGCCAAATTGCCTTACAGTACAGCGACAGAACGGGCTTGGCTTTGACATATCGAAGTTTGCTGTGGACACCATCATGTACCATGGGACGGACAATGTAAAAATGAAAGAGGCGAAGTGATGGAAGGAAAGAGGATTATTACACAGAAAGAAAACTAGAACTGTTTAAAGGACATCAGAAAGGCCTTTTGCTCAGTTGCAGTGCTTTCTATGCTAGGGTTGCGATCTGACTGGAAAAGCGTGGGAACGCAGGCACTGTTCCTGCCTGTACTGCTGTTTATTTACGGATAAATCAAGAGTTTCAGGCCCCAGCACTTTCACAGGCTTTCATGTCCTATGAACCTTGAATTTTTCATTTTTAACTTTTAAAATAATAAAGAAGCACTGAAAGTTGCTGGCCTGAGGAGAAATGTTTCTGATGAAAAAGAAATAAATCACCACCTCGCTTGGCCTACAACTTGCTCCTCTCAGCTACAGACCATTTTACCTCTTACGAGCTACTCTGCCAACTACCCACAGCTGGCTCATCTCCACATCATGTAAATGTACCATCTTATTAAGTTTATTAAAAGATTAATAAAATAATTTACAAAGACGCTCAAAATGTCTTAATTTTAAACGAGTCTCTGGTATCCCGTTAATTGTACCCAAGGTGTAAAGTTTCCTTGCAGGTCTGCAGTAATGCGGCTGCAGAGCCTGTTTTCCCTGGGTGACTCTCAGCTGTGCAGAGGAAGCATGTAAAAATTTAAAACTTCATAAGCCTGGAGGAGAATAGTGGTATGACCCAATATTTACATAGTAGCATATGTCAGGGCTCTGAACAACTATTTTTGTATTTTTTTTAAACAGAAATATAGGGTCCTAACAAGAAAATGTAGTTATAGAGTGAAAACTGTCAAAATTTTGCCCTTTGAAGTACGTGCTGAATTATCAGAATACCAGAATAGTGGTTCCTGTAACCACTATTCCAGCCAGAATTCCATCAATAAATTAGTAATTACAAGCTAGGGGATATTAACTACAAAATTAAGTGTTCTTGGGTGCTGCCTCACTGCAAGGAAAACTCAAGTAATGGAGTCCACCAGGGATCTGCTACTTTTTGTTGTGGATTTATGACATTAGCTAGAGGAGCTCTGCTCAATGCCCCACGCTTTAAAAAGGTTACTAGACCACCACTTCAACAAATCAGTAGCACTTCCAACTTTCAAAAACTCTTACCTGCAGTTTTATGTCCACTTTTAATATTCAGGCTCCCACTGAGGTTTGATAAAGAGACTAACAAACAAGGTTTACTGGGATGTGGGATGGTTTCCATCGAAATAACCATTTGAACGGTGTGAATGGCAATTTTCTGGAAGCAGGAAAGAGCTCGCCACAAGTTTTCTTGCACCGAAGCCTTTTGCGCAGCGGTGGTGTGCGCTGCAGGCAGCAAATCCTTCGCACTGCAGTGTTTGGTTATCGAAGTGACATCCTCATCTGGAATAATGCCAGCTGACGGAACAGCCTCCTTCCTGGGCTCATCATCATTTGTTGTTATGATTTTCTTCAAAAACTGGTTTATTTGATCAAGTCTGACAAAACTGAGATGTGCTTTCAAAGGTTTTGATATGTCCACATTTATGTCAGCTGTAGGAGAGAATTGGAGGAAGAAATATGAGAAGCTATAGTCCAGTTATTCAAGCAATGTAAAAATATTTGGCATTTAGTGGAGACAATGTTATTTCTACCATGTTTCATAAAAAGGACTGAATCAATGGTGAGACATAATGAAACAATATTTTAAGGAATAAATCTGAATTAAAACATGATGAAAAGTACTATAAGCAATGTTCACTATATACAGTTTTACAGGAAGACACATGTCACAGTATCCATCTTACATCCTTGTTTCTTCCCAGGGATCACCACAGCTGTCTGAACGACACACACTTCATTCGAGTGTGTAGGAGGGTAAATACATTACTCCTTTTGTGTCAGAACGAAAATATACTTCACATTCTCTTGAGTTTTACATCCAGGAGAACTATTTGACTAAACTCCAAAGCCAACAGCGAACATCTTCAACACATTTCAATGAGTGAATAAACACGTATCTTCTGTTGTTTCCTACACAGCTAATATGCAGTATTCTTCAGTGCATTTTCAAGATGAAATGTGAAATAAAAAGCAAACACAAAAAATTAGGTATGTTTAGATATCTTTGTTTTCCAGGGAGATTGGAATAACCTAATATTTTTAAAAAGTTCTTCGTCTCCTCAGTAAAGGATTTTGACACTTCCCAGACTGCTAAAAGTCTCACAGAATTTTACAAATCACAACCAATATGAACAACATTAACAACAGTGATATTTTAGTAGCGGAGATGCTGCAATTACCAAGACTATTTCACAGATGGGAAGCAGGATTTTACGATGGTTGAAACTTATTTCTGTGCTGCTATCTGCCTTGTCAGTACATGACACTTCCTTACAAAAATCCAGCTTTAACTTAGCTTTTAACATTTTTCATTTCAAATTCAGCTTTCACCCAGTAATGAGACTGCTACCCTGGGCAGGGGGAAAAGTTTGCTTTTCACTTTGCTGTTTGATTCCCGCCGCCCCGCTCCCAAGAACCAAAAATTATTAAAATTCTGTGCATATATCTAAACTAGACTAAATGTTCAGAGAAAACAGCACTATTTAGTTTCAAGTTTCATTCTAAATATATATAGGAAACGCTGTTTATTGAAGGTTTGACAAAGATTAATGAATATTTCACCAAAATTAGGACCTAGTTTCAAGTCGTACAGGATGACATTCTACTCAGTGCTGATGCAAACTGATGAGCTCGATTGTCCCACTCTAAGTAAATTACAAGTTTTTACAAGCATGGTAAAGGGCTGCAGGAGCAGAGCATTGGAGCTTTATACTGACTTCAGAGAGTCCCAGGCACACAACAAAGGACTTTTCTGACCCCCCAGAATACCTGGGGGTTCTAAATTTTAGTGAGATGCTTTGGTAACTGGATAGATAAGTCTCTGAATTATATACTAGTGCTTTTTCTACAAAGATAAAAGAAACTTATTAATGGCCATGTTAAGATTTGTTATAGCTAAATCAAAAAACCCAAAACAATTTTAGAAAAGTCTGTAGTACTCCACAAGCCACAGCTAACTGAAATTTAAGACTGAAAAAGTATTTTAATTGTAACTTGCAATTTTAATTAATGGTTTTCTGAAAATGCTTTCTCTTGTGTTAAAGCGTTCCATGCTGAACTAGAAACTGTGGCAAAACACTAGCTAAGACTTGGGCCTAGTAGAATGGCAAGTATTAAAGCTAGGAAGCTGGGCATTAGAAGCAAGCAATATTTTTAGGCATCCAAAACCACACATCATCAACTTGGAAGATTTTTCAAAATACTTATGTACTGATATTTTTAATTAAAACCAAGGGAAGAAAAATGTCATAACACTTTTGAATATCTCTCCACCCTTCTTGGCACTAAAGAATACCGCAAGACTCGCCTGCCTTTTTGTACACATCATTGGTCCTCCCTTTGAACGGAGAAAGGAGACTTAGAAAGAAAGCAGAGACCCATGTGACATTACGCTATTAGTTTACTTCTGATACTCAAATGGAAAGGAGTGTTATGCTAATGAAATGTCTAAAAAAAACCCCCAAACACCACACAAACAAATGAGCAGCAATTTTAAAATGACCTAAGTTTGAAATCCAACTCGCATTAGCTTTTGTGTTTCTGAATGATGTAGGCACTTTGAGAACAAGTTATTGACAAGTATTGACTGAATTTTCCCCATTAGTGATGCAGTAATATAGGAATAAAATGAATAGATGTTCTTGGCTTTCCTATGTAATTAAGTTTGTAAGTTACTAAATGAGGAAAGGACCTTTATTGCTTGGTGTGCCAGCTTTCACATCTAACTGCTTTGTCAAAGGCACATTTTGTTGCCAACACTTTCCTGTGGTCATATAGCCCAGAAGAGGAAAAAACCAACAGAAAACCCTACAATCCAAGAACTGCTTAGACATAAGTTGATAGAACAGGTGTCAAGCTAAAGCCAGGGAGTAAACTGTTTGAGAAATGTTCAAAAGAAGACGAGTATGAGAGCAATAGTTCTCTCTTGGGCTTCCTCAGGCCAGGGCAGAGAAGACACAGGGTGCTGGTGAAGGTCAGTGGTGGAATGTGCACGGCACCTGTGGCCCTGGGCCTGTGTTTTATTGCTGCTGTTAGTCACTTTTTTCACAAACACTGTGCTCATCAAAGAACACATGAAAAAATGGACACCAGGACACCAGACAAATGCAAATGACTTTCCCGTTTGCTGTTTGGAAACTGCACGTCCCACAGAAAAATGTTGTCATGACTGATAACTTGGCAAAAGTTTGTATTCAGTTATTATTATCCAGTGAATTAGCCCCGACAGAAGGTGGTGGCAGCCAGAAGCATAGCTGCAGAAAATGTAACTCTGGAACCTTCACTGCAAATATTTCAACTCTCTTACAATGACATACGTTATTTTTACAACTGGTGAAATACTATGTAAGGAGATTCTTTGGCATTTAAGTAAAATGTTAAAAAAAATAAAAATCCAGTTGAGCAATCACCAGTCTTTGTCCCGTTTTACACTTTATACTTTGCACTGTAAAAGAAACTTTAACATCCCTTCTAAGAAAAACACATTTAAGTGATGTTTAATCACCTAAATCAGCTTAAACTGATGAAATACGAAGAGCCATTTAGAGCAGCTGATGAAGATGGATGTTCAGCGGCTTCTCCAGGCACTCAAAATGGGCTAAAAAGAGATGTTACAATGTAAAAGGTCACCTAGATGCAGCTGGAATAGACTTTCCAGGGTGCAAAATCGAAGCCTAACAGTCTTTTTAGATGATTTTAAACACCTTGGGAAGCACACCACATGACACTGTGCGGATTCTGTACTGGCAGGTAAACACAGGGTCTTGTAATTCAAACAATTCTTAGAATGGCCCAGCATTACATCAGAATCAGGACAGGGCAAAAGGTAGCTCAAAGCCACTTTTAACTCCTCATTTACACCAGTCTCTCTTCTGTCTACTAGTGACTTGCTACCACAATTACACCCCCTTGCTTTCTTTAGATTTAAGATGTAATAGCAATAACTTATTTTGCCAGGTGTTATCTATTTCCAGCAAATAAATAGTAAGGAAAACTGTGCTTGTAAATAGATTGCGTTCAAGTGAGTTATTTCTGGTTATGTTTAAATCAGACTAAACTAGATAATATCAAAGTAATGATTTTCTATTACAGTGTAGTATTTGAGTGTAGAATTTGAATTGTTCTTTCTCCCTCTCCATTTCTTTACTACATCTCTATAGATTACCCAGGAAACCCATGTCTGTCAATTATTAGTTTCTAATTACCCTTCACAACTTTCTGAACAGCTACTAGGAAACAGAATGATGAAATAAGTATGAAGTTAAAAAGAGATTAGATAAACATAAATAAATTACACTTATTATACGCTCCTGCCACACCAGGAGATGACTTAACAGTGAAAGGAAAAGAATCACATTGCAATAATGAAATCAGAGAGGGAATTCAGGTCCCAGAGGCGATTCTATGGAGTTTATGTTAATGTACACCTTGTGGGGGACCAAAAATCAACTGGAATAGTTTCCTGAAAACTGTTTCCAGCTATTTTCTCATTTAAAAAGTTCCAACTTCACTTGACCCATTAGTCATCATATTACTTACATTTATTATGTATTTTGAAATCTATTACAAAAAACCCAATGGATTCAATATGGCCTGCTTGAACAAAATCATAACATCCATAAAAGAAAATCTGTAAGCAGCACTCTGAAATTTCTGTCTGAAACAATTTCTTTGTCATTTTATTACTTAGAGCTTCAGATAAAAAATTTCAGGGTTATGAGTATTTTACCCTTGTTCTCCATAACATTCAGATTTGTACTGTGAAGACACAATTTTATTCTGTGAACTTGGGATAATGGTATTACTCAAAAGGACATTTTATTTGTTGGGCTAAGGCAACACAAAAATAACAGAGCTCTTACTGAAGTCTGTGGGCTTATTCTAATCTATACCATAACTGAATGTACACCAGGTTACTATTTCTATGAGTAATAAACTACCACAGTATACTCTTAATCTGAAAAACCAAAGAGTAAACTCTATGAAAATTATTTAAAAGCTTTATTTATAAGACTGTGATCTTTTCACAGACTATGAGAAATGTTGAACTGTGAAAGAGAAAAAAATACGGCATTTTTCAAAAATCTGTTCACTTCTCATACCCCTCATTCTGCAGTGCATCTTTTATTTCTCATAGCTAATGGAGAAAAGGCCAGGTCTTTCTCCCTTGGGTTGAACATGGTTCTCGCTCTCCCCTACCCCAAGAAGGCTGTAAAATATTGAACTTCTTAATAAATAGTACTGCTACAGAAGAAACTACTATTTGCCCAAAACATTTAGGAGGATTGAATTTCATAGTCCTAAGCAGGAGAGGAGCAGACAACAGACATGAAACATTTTACCACCAGTCATATTCTTTCTCTGGGAGCCACCCATCCTGATGTAGGGAGTTTAAACAGAGGAAATCTGAGGAAGGTAAAGGTAATCTTGAG